AAACTTATACACACTTATTGTATTCATAAAGTTGTGTTTATTGTGATACATTCATAATTCTGTTTATCTGATTTATGCTGTCACAAGTCAAGGCAGCACACCAACTTCTCAAGACTATTCCACATAGCTATGGGAGTAGGAGGGTTGATGGAGTTCCTGTTTTCAGCAAACAAAATTCAGATATTGCAATAACTACCAAAGACGGGATTAAGTGGTATGTATTGATTCTTTTGTATCAAAATTTAAATATGCATATTTCAATTTTTAGGGCATAGGACTGTTTTTTTTTATTTCCTTATTCAATTCCAGTTTGTATGTTGGTTATATTCAATTAACTTTTTAGGACATAGAACTGTATTTTTCTTTTCCTTATTCAATTGTAGTTTGTATATAAAAAAATTAATTGAATGATTTTCTTTCATTGAATCTGATATTAAGTTTCTTTTTAGATGGAAATTATGAGACCAAAATGAAATCTGAAGATGACTAAATAATATATCAATTAACTCCAAATTTATTTTGATTGTTGCTGGGAAGTCAGTAGTTCATTGCTGTGAATTCTTAGTCTTGGGACTGATTTTCTCTTGATCTGACTTGTTGTTAGCTAGGTTTATTTATAGCTAAGTTATTTATGCTATACTTTTTGTACCTTGTTGTTCTGCTCTTTGAGTTGAAAAAGCATCTCATTGGAATTTCATTTTATGCAAAGGCTTGGTTTTGTAGAAAAATTATGTCCTAAGCATATAGATTCCTATTAAGTTATAGGTTTTAAGAGATAATAATTAGAGTACATTATAATTTAGTCTATGCATTATTTATGATTTTATAAGTTAGTCATTATGTTTTTGAAAACCATAAGATATAATATTTCATATCAAGGGATTTATGTTGAAAATTAATTTTCATATGAAACTCACTTTAAATCTGTTCTGAAATATGCTCTTTTAACCATGTTTTTTTTAAAAAAAAAATTCTAACATTATATGCTGGTGGGTGTTTCTTGGGTAGTTCTATGCTTTATTGATGTGCTCTTTCAGCAGTGGTAATTCTAACATTTATTCTTTATTGATAATAAATTTCAAAATAACTTTGTAATCTTGTTCAAGATTGAAAATTTTTAGGTTAGATCTTAAAAGAAAAAAAATTGTTATGACAAAACAATTGCCATGAAAATATAAAAACTAAACAGTACTTTAACTTGGATATTCTTTTTGTTTTTCATAGTTGAACTTACATTTGTTTTAAAGACTAGCAATTGATATAGGTGGATAGGTATAACATACTGTTTATGTTTTTTACTTTTCCAGCAGTATAAATGGCTTATTGGATCACAATATAAATCAATAGAGTTGGCTAAGTCTGATTGAGTTGCAACAAGGAAATCTCCACCTTGGGTCATTGATTATTGGGGCTTAGGTAAGTCTATTTTGCTTCATTTTTTTTATGGTTGCTTAATTAGATTATGCTTAATTTGTTTGCTGGGCATGCCTATTGTAATCTTTTCAATTAATTGGAACTCTGCTTTTCATTGGGATTAGATTATTCATATTTAAATTTATTTTCCTTGTAGATCCTAGGTTTGGAGGTTTATGTGAACATGATGCTGGGATTATATTCAATTAACTTTTCTAGCCATAGTGCTGTCCTTTTTATTTCTGCTTTTACATATTGCTCCCTGAAGTTCATGTTTTTAGAAATTTTCCTCTTAAAAAGAATAAGAACAAGCCTCGGTCTTCTTTATTTAATTTCAAAACCATGAAGGCATTTAGAGGGCCAAATTCCATTTTGATTATTTGGTTAGACAACATATTTTAATTTAAATGATTGTTTAAGTACTAGTAGTTAAAGCAGTATGCTTATTTATAAAAATACTTATTGGTGTTATCATGTTAATTAGATTAACATGGATGATCGATCGTGGATGTATGGTCGTCTTATGGATGGTCGTCTTCGTCCTGAATACATTACAGGTGTTAGAAGATTTATCAATTTTGCCTTTTCAATTGATAAAAATATATCTGGGGGGAAAATTAGATGTCCTTGTGTTAGGTGCAAAAATCAAAAGTTTTTAAAGGAAGATGATGTTTGTAAGCATCTATTGACAAAAGGTTTTTTACCTTGTTATGAAAATTGGACTGTACATGGGGAGCCTTATGTCGCACAACCAATATTGGCTGGACCTTCATCGGTTGGAATTAGTCATGTTGTGAATGATGTTTGTCTACAAAATCCATATAGGAATCTGGTCATGGATGCAATGGGGGTTGGTGATGCATACTATAATGATAATGTGTTTAGTCCTGTAGTGGCAGAGGAACTTCCAAATCTGGAGGCAACTAAATTTTTTCAGCTTTTGAAAGCTGCGGAGGAGCCTTTGTGGGATGGGTGTACCAAGCAATCCAAATTATCTGCTTGTGTACAATTGCTTAATATGAAGTCAACTTTAAATTTGACTCAGACTGCCTTCAACAAGTTTATTGATTTTACAAAAAGTTGCATGCCTAATGATGAAAATTTGGTATCCAATTTTTATGATGCCAAGAAATTTATGCGGCCACTTGGACTTGGTTATGAGAAATATGATGTGTGTCCTAATTACTGTATGCTATACTATGGAGTAGATGCTATGAAAATTAATTGTGATTTTTGTGGAAGTTCACGATACAAACCTAAAAATCCTACTAGCAAAGGTTCCAATAAGGCTGAGAAGCAACTCCGATACTTTCCCTTGACACCAAGGCTTCAGAGACTGTTCATGTCTCCATATCATGCCAAAGATATGACATGGCATCATTTTCATACGTCAGATAATGGGGTTATGGTGCACCCATCTGATGGGGAGGCATGGAAGGAGTTTAATCGTGTCCACTTAAGCTTTGCATCAGATCCGAGAAATGTTCGGTTAGGGTTATGCACTGATGGGTTTTGTCCATTTGACATGTCTTCAAATACATACTCTTGTTGGCCAGTAATTGTTACTGTTTATAATTTGCCTCTGTGGAAGTGCATGACTAGACCATTCATGTTTTTGACAATGATGATTCCTGGGCCAAAGAATCCGGGGAAAAAGCTTGATATTTTCTTAAGGCCTTTAATTGATGAGTTAAAGAATTTATGGTCAGTTGGTGTTGAAACATATGATGTATACAGAAAGGAAAATTTCCAATTAAGGGCAGCTTTGATGTGGACCATTAGTGACTTTCCAGCATATGGTATGTTATCAGGGTGGAGTACTCATGGAAATCTGTCTTGTCCTTATTGTATGGAGCATAGCAAGGCTTTTAGATTAAAAAATGGAGGGAAAACAACATTTTTTGATTGTCATCGACGATTCCTACCCATGAACCACCCATATAGATGTCAATCTGATAAGTTTTTGAAAGGAGTAATTGAAAGGCTCCCTCCTTTACCTCGTCCGTCTGGTTTGGAAATGTTAAATGAAGTGTCCAAGTATACTGAGGGACATAATGGAAGTTCATCATGTAATGATAAAATTCCTGGCTTTGGTGTTAAACACAATTGGGTGAAGAAGAGCATTTTCTGGGAGCTTCCATATTGGCATACAAATTTGATTCGTCATAATCTTGATGTCATGCATATTGAGAAAAATGTCTTCGACAATATTTTTTATACAGTAATGGATTGTCCTAATAGAAGTAAGGATAATTTAAAGGCTAGGTTGGACATTCAATTATATTGTAAAAAGCCAAATCTGCATTTGCAACAAGATATGAGTGGTCGGGTTTACAAACCTAAAGGCACTTATTGTCTACACAAGAAACAACAACAAGAAGTTTTGTCATGGTTGAAGGAATTATCATTTCCTGATGGTTATGCTTCAAGCATTTCACGATGTGTGAAAGAGGCACAATGTAAGGTTTCGGGGATGAAGAGTCATGATTGTCATGTCTTCATTCAAAGACTTCTTCCAACTGCTTTCCGACCTTACTTACCTAGGCCACTATGGGAGGCATTAACTGAACTGTCTGTATTTTTTCGAGATATTTGTACAACAAATTTAAATGCCCAGCATATGGAGTTAATGCAGATGAATATAATTGAAATAATGTGCAAACTTGAAAGGATTTTTCCTCCATCCTTCTTTGACTCCATGGAACACTTGATGATACATCTACCTTATGAGGCAAAAGTTGGTGGACCAGTTCAATATCGATGGATGTATCCATTTGAACGGTATGTTTTTATACTATGTTAATTTTATTCCCTTTTTATTTTAAAAAATAAACTAATATTAAGAAATGATATAGGTATATGTTTTATTTGAAGAAGAAAGTGACCAATAAAGCTAAAGTTGAGGGTTCCATATGTGAAGCATACTTGATTGATGAAATCACCAATTTTGCATCTCATTATTTTGGTGATGACGTGCAAACAATTTGGAATCGAGTTCCACGGAATGATGATGGTGGCCTTAACATTGTAGATGGATGTCTCTCTATTTTTTCCTATCCAGGGAAAAAATTATCCAAAAGATTTTATAGAAGACAGTTGTCCCATGCTGAAATGCAAGTTGCACATAACTATGTGATATTCAATTGTCAAGAACTTAAGCCTTATTTAGAGTAAGTATAAAATATTATTTTGTACTTAATTTATAATAATCTGTTATTAACTTTAATATTTGAAAATTTTAGGCAATGTCGTCAAGAGCTAAAGTCACAACAACCACATGTGAGTGATGTTGAAATTGAAAAATTATGCGAAGAGATCTTTCCAAATTGGTTAAAAAATAATGTAAGTATACATAAGTATTTATATTTTATGTCAATTAGTTACTTTAAAAAGATTACTAATCTCTTTTAAATCACTATTTCTTATGAAGTTAACTATTATGCTAGGTGGAATACCAATGTAACGGAATTGGAAATCAACTCTTTGGACTTGCTATGGGGCCTTCAACTTCAGTGAAATGTTATAATGGGTATTATGTGAATGGTTTTAAATTTCATACTCAAAGTTATGGGCGTTTTAAAAAGACAATGAATAGTGGAGTTTGTGTGAAGGGAAGTTGCTATGATAATAATGAACGTGATTATTATGGAATGCTTAAAGAAGTTGTTCGGCTCAAATACTTGGGGAGTAAGTGCAAGTTATTTATGTTTAAATGTAATTGGTATGATACAAAGCGAGGGATTAGGGTACATCGTTCGAATGGTTTGGTTGAAATCAAGCATACATCTCGACTACATGGAAATGAAGATTTTGTTCTAGCACAACAATGTCAACAAGTCTACTATACATATCCGCCTGGTAATAAATCATCTGAATGGTGGACGGTTATTAAGACTACTGCTAGAAGTCGTTATAATGTTGACATGGGTGAATTTATTGAAGATGCCAACAATGTGCGATCATTTGATGTTGATCAATCAGATGAGATTTATCAACCATGTCGTGTCCTTCCTACCCAAACACTTGATGATCAAAATATACTTGTTGAATCATCTTATTATGAAGAAATCAGTCAACATGAATTGCTTCAACTTGACATAAATTGGGGAAACAATGAAGAAGAAGAAGAACAAGAAGATGATGATGATGATGGCAATGACGATGGCGATGGTGATGGTGATGGCGATGATTCTTATAGTGGTGGTGATGACAACGATGAAAACATGGTTTTGTGTGATAATGATGACATGGTTAGCAGTGATGATAATAATGAGTAGCATAGGTTAATTATATTTCGTAGTATATGTAATGAATATTTTTTTTTATATGTATGATGATTTTATATTATTTGATAATATTTAGGCTTTCAATGTTTTTTCTTTATTATTTTATTGAAGTGTGTGTTATGGATGACATTACATGTATTATTTTCATTGACCTTTGAAACCATTTCTAACCTTTGAAGTATCAATCTTTAAATTGTGATTCTGATGTTATAGTTTATTTTGTGATTTGTTTTCTTGCTGATAGATACTGGAGCATTAATGAAAAGGGTTCTTCCTACTCAATGTTTTGATTTATAGGAACAAACATTAAGGTAAGCATACTTATAATTTTGATTTCCTATCAAGTAATTATTTAGATTTATATTTTTATTATTGTTTGTGTTAATTGGATTTTGACAATATAAAACTTCATGGCTGATTTTTATTATTCCAATGAATGCTTAATGAAATGGTCTTGATGTTATTTATATATTTGTTGTTGTTACAGTAATTATTTTATTTGAAGTATAATATTTTTTGAAGTTATGACTATTACGTTGACTATGAGCTAATTTATTGCAATGAATGCTTAATGAGATTTAACAGTTTGTTTTTATTCTAGTTATGGCACTCTTGGAAAAATATCTGTGAATTTTTTGTTATTGAAAGTTTGACTATGAGCTAATTTATTGTTATGTTGTATATATTCATATGATAATGTTTATGTTTTTTCTTGTTTTTAGCATGCCTCGACGAGGATCCATATTAGATTCTAGGAGTGATAGGTCCACTTCAAGGAGTGACAGGTCCACTTCATCCAAATCATTTCAAACTACATCAAGGCATAATAACAAAGGATCTACATTTCAGCAACTTGTGTATCAAAATGCAAATGAGTGTTATATACCTACTTTGGGGAGTACACATCCTCCTCAATGTGATTATGGGAGGGTTGAAGCATATCAATTTTGTGAGGGCTTTCGCTTCCAAGATTTGCTTCAAACTCAAGGAGGTTTCCCTCGAGATAACCAACTTATTTATGGAGGACATAATTCATATAGGAGTTATGGGAGAGTTGATGGTGATGGTGATGATGTGAACATTAGAGATGAAGATGAGGGAGACGGTAGTAATGAGAGAGGTGTATGTGATGAGAATGCAGATGGTGTGCCATTAAACCACGGTTCAACATCTTCTCCATACAATTATGATCAAAATGTTAAAAGGAAGGGTTTTGACACACCAATGGATCCAATTACAAGAAAAAAAGAGCTTTGTTTATATGGAACAACAGAGTAAGTTTAAATTTTTAAAAATTAACTGAAAAAAATTATATTTTCAGGTATGAAAAAAATTACTTATTATTATGTAATTATTTGTTTACTATAAGTTTGTTATTATATATTTTCAGGTTCAATAACGCATCGTGTGGACGTGCAATCGGAGATATTTTGAGGTCCAATTTTAAAGGAGCATGGCACTCTTTGGAAAAAATAGATTCAATGTGCAGGGATGAACTCTTTAAAGAGTTTAAGGTAAGAACCAACACTAATTGTCATTTTTTTTTAAATTTTGATCACTTTAATATAGCATTATGAAAATTTGTTCTTATTTCTTGTTTACTCTTTAATATCATTTAATTTCTTTAATTATTATATCATCTTGCAAATTCAGAACAAGATAACAATATGATTAATTTTTTATATAATTTGAAATTTTGTGCACTCTTTTAACTTGGTATATATATTATTTGGTAGAAAAAATATTCCTTTCCTGAGGAAGATGAGTCGATTGTTCGTAATATTTGGGAAGATAAGGCTAGGATAGCTTTGAATCAGCAATTGACACGAGCTCGCAAGAAAGCCATGTCAAAAGAAAACACTACAAATATTATAGATTGCCTTGATAAAGGTCCTGCTTGGATAAACAATGATGACTGGAATCAAATGATCAAAGATGTTTGGTCCACCCCTGAATTTCAAAGGAGGTCTGAATCTGCTAAGAGGAATCGATTAACCAAAACAGATGGTAAAATAAGCACTCATTCTGGAGGAACAGTGTCATTTGCATCATATCGAGCTAACATGGTAATGATTTTTTTTTATTATGCTTAAGATAATGAATTAAATTTTATATATTTATCTTTTATAATATTTATTAATCTTGAAAGCAAGAGGAAGCTGGTGGAAAAGAACCTCCATGGGATGATGTCTTTTCAGCTTTGCATCAGAGTACTAAGCAGTCTGGTAGCTTCGTCGACAACAAGTCTAAAAAAGTGGTTGTATGTATTTTTATTTGATTATTTCTTAATATAACTTAAGTATTATTTAACATTCAAATGGATTTATTGATGCATGTATTTTATTTGTAGGAGAATTATAAAAAGGAGATGATTTCAAAGTATGGAACTAATCGAGAAAATCATCCTTCATTTGATGGAGCAGCTTGGTGTGTGGCTTCAGGAGGAGTTATAAAGGGTAGGGTATATGGTGCACCTCGTATGCCAAAATCTATAGTTAGTACAAGTTCTTCATCACATTCCTACTCGGTGGAGTCATCATATCCCAGTTCATCGTATCGAGCGTTGCAACAAGCGATAAAGGATAAAGAAGAGGAGATAAAGAAAAAAGATGATTTTATTCTTGAAATGAAACGGCAGATGGATTCTATGCAAGAATATCTTGTGAACAATCTTGGATACAATGATGGGACATCAAATATTGATCAAGGTATGCCACCATCTTTGACTCCAGCAATATCGCCACCTATGGCTCCTCAGATAATGACATCTATGGGACCCACATCTCAACCAATTTTTCGACCTACACCTCGACCTTTATATCCTGATCAATCTTGTATCGATCCACAATATCATGGTTCGTCTTCGCAACCGGCACCATGATTGTATCTTTTGTTGTTTTTTTTATTGTATTTGAACTTAATTGTATTGATGTAAGTTTAACTAAATTTTTATTATATGAATATTAGTTTTATTCTATTTTTTATTAATGATACAATTATTTTTAATATTAAATTGTGTTGGTTATATATATTTTAAAATTTTTAAAATATCCATAAATAATTAAATTAATTAATTAAAATTAAAAATCATTGCAATAAACAAATAAAAAATAATTTAATAAAAAATAATATAATCACCAACGGATTCTCCGTTGGTGATTGTAACTAATGCATCATTCAGCAACGGAGAATCCGTTGCTGATTCACAAAATAAGCAACGGATTATCCGTTGCTCATTTTGCAACGGATTATCCGTTGCTAATTATAAGCAACGGATTTTCCGTTGCAAAGAAATCAGCAACGGATAAATCCGTTGCTAACAAATCAGCAACGACAAATTTGCATCCGAATTTTGTCGTTGCTGATTGAGGTCACGTCTATAAATTTTAAAAAAAAACATACATCATGAGTACAAGTACTTGAAAAAAATTTAAACTAGATAGCAAATTATTTGACATGGACACCTTTTTATACAGTGATAAATAGCCCAGGGCCATGAAAACAAGCCCTCGGAGCTACATTTTCCGTTGAATATATCCCCGCGCCTGCAATCAGAACATGGAAGAAAAGCAACACACAAGCTTTTCCATAGCTCGCATAGAGGATTATCAATTCATGATACATTCCATCCCCGTAAAAATAAAATCCCATCTACATTTTATACATAGATCACATGCATATATAACAGGATGATCAATTTGCGATGCTACACACTTGGAACTTGAAGATTCATCATATATAGCTAGCTAGCTACATGAGGCAGCAGGCATTAACATTGTCATCATTGAACATGTTGCTGACCTTGTCATCTCCCCGGTGGCTCACCGGAATGATCCCGCGCCTGTCTGCAAGATTGTAGCCATGCTTGTAATAGTTGTAACTCTCTTTGAACTCACTTGTTGTGTCCTTGAAATAGTGATTTGCTGATGTAAAGTACAGCGGTAGATCCGGATATGGCCAGAATTCCGCCCTCTTTCCTGCCCTTCTCGCTGCCTTGAGGACCTTGTTGCGATCAACATACCCCACCACCGTCACCTTTTCCATCTCTAGGTCAACCTCCACTGAATCAATACCTAATAACACATAGATAGCATTTATATATGTTTCAAATTAATTTCACATGCGTGTTGATAATATATGCGATAGTAATTAGTATCATCTATTTTGTTGTTCTAAATATAGTATCTAGTAGGTTAATGGATTAAGAAAATTGTTTTCCAGAAATTTGGCAGCCTAATATTCTGTGGAAGAAGATAAATGAACAAATTATGAACTATCTTCGGGTTGATTCTGTTTAATAGAAAAATAAATAAAAAATCAATTAATTGCTAGAGCTTCGTTTATAATAGAAAAATATCCTTCCATTTTTCAGAAGATCAGCCTCTCTAGCAGTTTAGTAAAAACAATACACACACACAGAGAGACAATATTCTATTTTTTTAATTTAAATTTTTATCATTTTTTATCCAATTAAAAGCAACAGGATTCTTGAATTAAGGAATAAAATAATTAATTTATTCCATGAAAAATCTAAAAATATATTATTTTAATGTATTTTCAATTGAAAATATCTTATACTATATTACCAAACATATTTAGTAGATTTTTTAGTGAATCATATTCAAGTGTTCTAATAGTCTGCCATATTCTAATATTTAAATATTACCAATTTTTTATTATTCCAACTCTAGAGAAAGGGAAAAAAAACACAACTTTAATAGGTAATTAATTAAACACACCTTTTGTTGTATTTTCTTCATGTATAGAAAAAAAAATATTTAATAGTAAAAAAGACATGGTCTTGAGTTGTATTTTCTTCATGTATAGAAAAAAATTATTTAATAGTAAAAAAGACGGATGTAAGGTATCCTTGAGAGAAAAAAAGATGGGAGATTAGTTGTAAAATAAATAGAAAAGAATCCTATAGTTTATTAATTATAAGTCACATTTATTTTCTTTCGCACTAAGAATTTCTTTAATCAACACAATAATTCCTGCCGACATATATTATCTACGGAGAATATAAACTAAAAACATAACAAATAAAATTGGCTTAAGAAATAGATTTCGTTAAATGTTTATTCTACGATAATAGCAAAAAACAGGATTTCTGAAATAATCCTGAATCTTTTCTTAAAGAAAGTGATTTTTTCCAAAAGATTAAATTAAGAAATAAGAAAACAAATCTGAAAATACTTAGTCATTATGTTTTTCAAAGAGTTTAATAAATAAAAGAATTAATCTTTTTATTTCTTAATTTTTTTCATGATTTTGAAAATAATTAGTCATTTTTTAATTTTTCTTAAAAAACATTGGCTTTGGCTATAAATTTCAAAATAAAGTTTCATTTCCCAATCATTGAAAAATTCTCATTTTTTTCTATAAATATTGTTTTTGTATTTCCTCAAATTTTCTTTTTTATTATTTTCTAAAAATTAACCTGGGAGAATTTTTGAAAAATCATAGATAAAAAAACAAAAAAAAACCTCTTTTTCCCCTGATTAGTAAGCCACTCCAAATTAATTACACAAAAGATATACCTCTAAGCTTATAAATGGCATTTTTGACAACCCTTTCACAGCCAGCGCAGCACATCCTGACTTTGAGCTCAACAGTCTGTAAAAGCAACAAAAGAACACGGTTTAAACATGGTCTTGAGAGATTCTATATATTTAATAAAGCTATATATATATAAAAATTCTTATTCCTTTGTTCCCTTTTGATCTTTCGAAGCATTCATGCTTAATTGGGGCTATTATAGGAAACCAAATGGATTGAGCAAAGGGTCTAAATTCTGCTCTTACCACTAAAGGATTTCCAGTGTAGATGATAGCAGGAAATTTTCTTTAAAAAAAAATAAACCGAAAGTATATATTATAAGAAAATCCTGATTTCTTTATTTTTTTATTTTTTTTATTTATACATAGCGCAGAGGGGAATTCCAACTTAAAATATCTTTTTCGTATGAAATAATATATGTATTTTGTAGTAACCATTATTTAAAAAAAAACATTTTTTTTTTTGAATTATTAGCCATTGTACTTGTCAACTAGAGACATATTGCAAATAGAACAAACTGTAGTTTTTATTCTATTTTTTACAATTTGTTGAGGTCTGTGCTCCTCCACCTTACAAGGAAAGAAAAAAAAGGGGCTCTCAACTAATAGGCAGAGATAGAACCCTGGTATTTTCTCTTGCATGGCAAGTTGAACATGAAAACTAAGGTGAAAGCTCAAGCAACAGACAAGAGATACCCTCATAACTCGAAGAAAAACAATAGTTGTAGGAGATGAAAGCGAACCTGCAAAGAAAGTGGTCTTCCCTTCGGCATGTTGTGTCTGATATTTTTTACCCTTACGTGGTCTTCTTGAATGTATAAGTAGGAGTGAGTGATGGAAGATATGATAGTCTTAAATGCTCTCTCTAAGAAGGTAGCCATGGAAGTTAATAGGGTTCCCTTAAGTGTATAGAGCAAAGGAAATTAAAGGAGAGAGTTAAACTTAGCTAGAAAAGACAAGCCAGACCCAAGAAGATATTCCTTTGTGGGCATCCTTCAAAGTTCAAAGAACCATTTGGAAAGGTGGCCTCTTCCATAATAATTAAAACCACTCTTAGAGAGAAGGGATTAATGGTATCTAAAACCCATCAAATTTTAATTATGTACTAAGCTTGATATATATGTGGGCCTAAAGAACATGGTTGTTTCTGATGACATAGCCGAAGAGGAATATCAATGAGTCATGTGTGCTATGGATTGGATTGGAAAAGTTAGGTTTTGATGCAAAGTGATAATCAACATATATTCTAAAATCTTTCCTTCTCCACCAACTTTTTTATATAAATTAATGTGAGTATCTGAATTAATTTTATAAATTTTAAAATTAATAATTATTTAAATTTTAAATGGTTTTAAAATTTATAAAATTTTATAAAATAAATTCAATACCTGATCACTAAAATGGCATGCATCATTATCTCTCTAGCCACAAGGCCTTACAAAGTTATATTCCCACATGTTCAATAATTTTATTGTTATTTGTTAGGTATTCCCTAAGGTATAGAATGTTTAGGTTTTTTTGTATATATTAAACGAATCTTTTGAGCTAATTAATATATGATTTTGATGATTACTTAATTATTATATATCAATTATTTAGCTCGGAGCATCATGGACTGATTAAATTAATAATAAAGAATATAGGTGCACTATATATATTCCTATCAAAACCATCGAATCCTAACCAACTAAGGTATTATTCCAGCAATCACACCAGCCATATATGAAATAGAGTTAGCCAAGAGAGGAGATCGATGGAGAAAAAGGAAGATTGTTCTAATTTTTGTTTGATAGAAGAATAAGAAGATACATGTGTTTGAGTGAAAACCTAGTTACTTAATTCCCCTTATATATATAGTCATTTTGTTTGTTTACATTCAATCAAATATTTGACCAATAACAAATATATTTAAATCATAATATAAAATCAGTTTTACAGGTCAATTCAATAACTTGTTAAATTAAAATTATTTAAAATTAAGTTTTATTTATCTTAATTATTTTATAGAATGAAATTAAAAAATAATAATAAATTATTTATCAGATTTATATTTTATATCGAATATTAGTTGATTTATAAATTACTTTTCATGTCTAATCAAAAAATTAAAAAGACCAACATACAAATATTAATCATGGCAATGCTAATAACATCGGTGTAGCATTGTTAAGGTAATTTTAAAAAGACCATTAACAATTAATTTGTGCCTTAAGAAAATAAAATTGTCATTTATTAGTATTGATGGATGTATAAACCATGCATGAAGCTATAAAATATGCCTCCTTCATCTCCTAAAGTCTTAAACATGGTATTTGTAAAGTATATATTATTTATTACATAATACTATGATTTGCTGATTTAAAACCTAATTGAGGTTAAGTTTTATTTCCAAACTAACTTTTTTAAAATAAAATAATGTTTTAAAAATTTTAAAATAATCCATAATCTAAATTTTGACATTGATCGAACCCGGGTTAGTTTTTAACCATAGTAGCGGTACTAATTTTTTCTGGAGTCTTTTATTATTTCTTCAGTTGATTTAATTCCTTTACACGCTCACAACACGACACGTGACGCTTGCGTAACTCTGAGATTCCTGAAGGTCGCTTTTCATAAGGGACACAGCTAGGGTGGTGAAATTTATGAAATTCTCATAAAAAATCACATGTATTGAACAGTTTTTTTAAAAAAAATTGAATAATTTGAATTATAAAATTATAAAAAAGTTATTTCATTCTGGTTTTATATTTTAAAAATTAAAAAATAAATCAAAAAGATAAATTTATATATAAATTAATATTTCATTATAAATTAAAAATTCATTAAATTAAAGCTTCTACAAAAACATTTCAATTAAAAGCTTATTAAGTTAATTATAGTTGTAAAATTTAATATGGAGGTCGATTTAGAACAGGACTAGTTTCGAAAAGTTGAAATCCAATATTTTTATAAAAATATATCAAAATAATATTGTTTTGATATAAAAATAATTTTAAAAAAAATCAATAGATTAATTTTTCATTAAATCAAGTGGATTGACGGATCAACTAAGATAATTACCTAGTCAACCAAGTTTTATTCTCACACTATATTCACAAATAATATGTAACAATCAAAATACTTTCTATGTGAAAACTTTTCTAACAACACCAATGCTTGAAAATGGTATTTATAGAGATGAAATATTTTAAAATTTTGAATATTTATATGGTAATTTTTTGCATCACATGAATTTAAGCTTATATAAATCAATAAAAAAGAAAGGAATCTAGATAGTAAGTTCAATAGATAAACAGACAATAACAAACTAATCTAAATCTTTAGATCAAATTTTATTTAAATCATTTAAATAAAAACATATTTAGATATAAGATCTATATTTAAAAACCAATGGAGGAAAGCACTGGTTTCAACCTTGCAGCGAAGATTGCTAAGTCTTAATCATATTTGCGAAATAGAAAACCATTAATTTGAAATCATTGGTTAGGATTTCCTTATAAAATTAAATAACTAGTATTGCTAAGCTTATACTGCAGTTTACGCAAAGATAAATAGGCCTTAGGGTCTACAATATTTTTTTAAAAGGATACTAGAACCCAAATACCTTCGATCCTTAATATCTTGTATGTGTTAAAATTGTGAAATTACTAAAAATATTGATAGAAAATTCTCTTATATTTTTTTTATATTAAAATTATGAAATTATTGTCATAACCCAATTTTGGCCCTTTAGCTTTTAATTTAATTTTTATAGGGTTTAAAATAAAAAATTAAAATATCAGAGATTTATTTCGATGAAAAGTGTGATTTGTCAACTTCCGTGAAAATTAAGGATTACAATGTGCCTTTGTCATTCTAGCCTTATCTTCAAGATAATCCTTATCTTCTTCAAGATAATCCTTACCTTGTTCAAGATAATCCTTAAGATAATGATTTTGTCTGCTTTCGAATTCGATTCTAATTCGAACTTCACAAAGGAGAATGAGTTTGATTGAAACTTGGTTTCTTACACGCGAAGGGACTCTGCCACTATAAATACAGATCTCAGGGGAAAAGAGAAAAAAGAAAGATGAACCCGAGAACAGAGAATTAGCCCAGAAAAACAGAGCAAAAGAAACAAAAGAAGGAGGGAGGACGATTAGAAAGAAACCCTAAAGAAAAAACCTTAAGAGGAGGTCATTACCAGAAACCTTAAAAGAGAGAAACATAAAAAAGAAGGGGGTGGTGAACCCTATACTAGCCACCGCCCCCTCAATCTTTTTTCTTTCCAGTCTCCCTCGATTTCGCCTTCAGCAGCCACATGCCTAGGTAAGTTTCCTTCTTTTCTTGCTAAAATAATTAAATGATTACTGTGTTTGCCAGGGATGTGCTTGGAAAAAGTGGGCAGAGAGAAGGAGGACTAGAGGGACACCAAGAGGAAAACAAAGGAAGAGAAAATAGCATCAGCAGGTCGGCCCTCCACTGTCATTATTATCTTCAATTGCAGCACCAGGTAAGTTGCTCTTTTCCTCCTTGCATTTTAATTACATGCTTCCTGTAGCAGATGTGCGTAAGTAGTTCATGCATGCCTGCTGGTAAAAATTAAAAAACAATGGTCAACCGGGTTAAGCTTGTGACCCTGCTAGGCCTGTTGGGTCCAGCCCAGCTCTATGTGTTGAGCTGGGCCAACCCAAAAAATATAAAAATAAAAAATATGTATACATGAATAAAAATAATATAAATTTATTGGTTTATTAACTAACGCCAGAGTCAGGAATAGAAATACCGATTTAAATTTATATTATTTTTATTCGTTGTATTTTATTTTATTTAGCTAGAAAAATAAAAAAAATATGTGCACGCGTAAAAAAAATTTATTTTTATTTATTTATTCACTGACGCTAGAGTTAGGAATAAAAGAAAAAAAATGATGATTTAAATTTATTTATTTTGATACCTGCGTAATATTTACCAACGCTAGAGTTAGAAATATCCGTAGTTGAACATTCATTGGTACCAGAGTCAGGAATATTACACACAAATAATCATAGTATAAACCAACAAAAAAAAATGTTAGCAATTAAGGACAAAGATCAGGAATGCAACCTGCCTTAGATAGGACGTTTAAAGGGTGATAATATCTTCCCTTTTACGTAACCAGTCTCAGACTATAAAATCTTTGTTGGCCAGTTAGGGTTTTTTGTAACCATAATACTAGGTGGCGACTCCTTAAACAAAGAATATCCTCATTAAATTTAAAGAATATACCAACTGGGCAGGTGACCCATTACAATGTGACCATCTGGGTAGATAACTCATTACAATATACCATCTGGGCAGGTGACCCATTACAATGTGACTATCTGGGTCGGTAACCCATTACAATATACCATCTGGGCAGGTGACCCATTACAATGTGACCATCTGGGCAGGTGACCCATTATAATATGACCATCTGGGTCGGTAACCCATTACAATATACCACCTTACATTGGGCAGGTAACCCATTACAATATACCATAAAAAAAAAATCCTTGTATTTTTATTCTTCATTGGATAGGTCGCCTGGAACAATTAGACCACTTACGAAATTCTTCGCGTTTCTTTTATCATTGGGTAGGTTGCCCAAAACAATTTGATTCATTTCAAAAAAAAAAAAATAGGTCGTCTCCCAAATGATTTGTTTCTGGATTTCTACATCTCTGTGTAAAGGTCATGTGTCAATCTACTATTTTCAAAGGTTTCAAAATTATAAAAAAAAAAAAAAAAGCAAAAGTTCTTTCATAGGTCGCCTGGAACAATTAGACCACTTACGAAACCTTTGTCATGTTTTATTTTTTATCGGGCAGGTCACCTGGAACAATTAAACCATTCGCGAAACCCTTTCGCGTTTTATTCTTCATCAGGCAGGTCACTTAGAATAATTAGACCATTTGTGAAATTCTTCGCGTTTCTTTTATCATCGGGTAGGTTGTCCAAAATAATTTGATCCATTTCAAAAAAAAACAAAAAAAAAATGGGTCGTCTTCTAAATGACTTGTTCTCTCTGTAAAAGTCATATATCAATCTAGTATTTTTGAAGTTTTCAAGACTCTAAAAAAAAA